CTAAGTAGCCCTGTATCTATTAAAGAACTTGAATTTGAAATTAAAAACCTTCACAAAATGAAAACTGTATGCCCAGGTGGCTGCACTGATAGATTCTATTATACATTTGAGAAGAAATAATATAAACTTAACATACATGCTACCCCAAAATAAAAGGGTAAACACAATTCAGGTTATTTCACGAGGTCATTGTACACTAACATTTAAATCAGATAAAGACACTATAAGAAAAGAAGCTAAAGACCAATATTCCTCATGAACATAGATGCAAAGATTCTTAACAAACTATTAATAAACCAAATCCAGGCATATATAAATGGGGAAATACATTATGGCAAAGTTTAGTTTATCCCAGGAATGCAAGGTTAGTTTAATGTTTACTAGAGGTCTCAACCAGTTGATTAAGGCAAGTGAAAAGAAAAGATAAAAGGAAGATGCAAAACTTTTTACTTGCAGGTGACAAGATTGTGCTTGAGGAAAATGCAAGGAATTCCTAAATGTTAAGGAATCAACAACAACATTAAGCTACTAGAACTAAAAAATGGTTTTGGCAATGTTGCAAATACAATGTTAATGAACAAAAAATCAATTGTATTACTACATACCAGAAATAAATGCTGGAATTTGAAATTTTAAAATGCCGTATATTATAGCATAAATTACCACAAAATTAGAAATAAAATCTAAAGCTATATCCTTAAAACTATAAAACATTCATGAGAAAAATTAACAATGATCTAAATAAATGAATAGATACTCCATGTTCACGGATTGAAAGACTTAATATTAAGATGTTTGTTCATCTCAAGTAATCTATACATTTCACACTGACCTATCGAAATACCAGTAGGTTCTTTCTAAAAAATTGACAAGCTGACTCTAAAATGTATAAGGAATTCAAATGCTGTATAGATACAAGTAAAAAATTATCATTAAATTCAAAAACTAGAAACAAAAGCAATCACATTGAGAGACAATGAACATTATAGCCTTACCTTCTAAAGTTGAGTATTTTAATATAATTATCTAAGTGCACAAATATTTGGTTCTTTTGGATTTCTCCCCACTGACAGTGTCATGTATTTATAATACACTATTGCATTAATACTTATACAAAGAAATTATTTACAAGGTGACAATATTAAAATATTTGCTAAAAATACAACTGAGTCATGCTCTAATATTAGTGAATAGTCCATAATATGTGTACAGACCATCTAATGTTTCACCTACAGCTTCTGGAATTCAAAACTATGGTACAGTCATAAAAAAAATACAAGATCCTCTTCTGACATTTATTAATGGCATAGTTTACATCTTTCAATTGCAATAGAGCAGTAGTTCTCAAAGTACAGTCTAGGAATCATCCAAGACCCTTAATAATAATACTAAGATATTAATATTTTTTTTATTGAGACAGGGTCTTGCCATGTTGCCCAGCTAAAGTACAGTGGCTATTCACAAGTACAATCATAATACACTGCAACCTTGAAGTCCTGGGCTCAACCAATTATCCTGCTTGAGCCTGCTGAGTAATTATTTGCTTTTTTAACACTCAATTTTTCATGAATGTAAAGTACACTTTTCCCCAGAGGTTGAGACATGCAATATAACAAAAGATTAAATGAAGAAGCAAAAATAAGAATGCAGCTTGTCTTCTTTTAAGCTAGCAATTAAAACGATTTGCAACAATGCAAAAAAAATGCCACTCTACTGGGTTATTTTGGTCTTAGAAAATGATTAATTTTCATTAATTTACATTAACATGTAATGGGTTTATGATTATTATTTTAAGTGAATAAATATTTTAAAATTCGCAGTTTCCATTTTTAATACAATAAATATTAATATACATAATGCATATTAATAAAACTCTTTGGGTCTTCAAAAATCTTAAGAATACAGTGTTCCTGATTACCAAAAATACTGAGAATCACTGCAGTACAGTAATGAACAATTTCTAAGTGGTACACACGGGGAGAATAATCCAGATTACTAAAATGAAAACGAGAAAACGTATTTTAGAAAAGATTTTCATATGTTCATGTTTAGATTGTCTTAGTGAGACGCTACATTAAGCCTCTTTTGGTTCTTAAATTAATAAAATTCACCAGTGAAACAATGGCCTAAGGCCAATACAATGTAAGATGCACGCAGGATTTGTTTTCTTCTTCCCATCGTGATGCATCCCTAGTATAACAGAACGGAAAAATAGTTTTCCAAGTCTCTTATCCAATTTTGAGAGTTAGGTACCACCTACATATTAAACCCTGCTCCCTGTCTTCCAAACTGTCCTTCCCTTACTCTATTGTTTTCACCACTGTGCATGCAACCTTTTAATGTATTATATAATTTGTCTATTTATTACATTTATTTTATGTCACCCTATCCAATAAAACATAAGCTAAATAAGGGGAGGTCGTTTTTTTTTCCTGCTTTATTCACTGATATATCTGTGCTTAGGAGAGTGCCTAACATAAAATGAATATGAAATAAATATTTGTTGAATGAATTAATGAATATTTTACTAAAGTAAACTTTGGCATTATACCAGGGAAGCAGCAGCATGTCCTACCAAATGAATACCTGCACACAGCCATAGATACAAGTTCTATGGATACAGGCGGGAAGCTGGGGCTGAAGGAAAAATTCTCAGGGCTAAGGAGTTTCCTCTTCTAGTCCCAGAAATGAAGAAAGATAAGAAGACAGAGACAAGGAAAGGAGACAGATTTGGAAATAGTCCAAACTGGAGGCAGCAGCAGAAGGTTTTTTCCCCCAATCCTAGGATTCCATAAATATAAACAAAGAAAAATAAGGGTAAGAACAGCTAACACACCTCTCTTCTCTTGATGTATTTCTTCCAGAAGCTGCTCCTGTCTCTCTATCTGTTGAAATAGACACTGGAGCTCAGCTTCCTTGTTTTCGGTCAGATCCCTGAGTTGTTGTCTGGAGAGCGTGAGCTGGTGTCGCAGATTTTTCTCTCTGCTTTCTCTCTCTTTCAGTTCCTCACAGAGCCACTGAAGTTTAGTCTAAAAAATGAAATTTATATTTAATTTTTTAAAAATCCAGAAAACTGTAGAATTTCAAAACATGACGCAAAAATAAAGTAACATCATGGTAATCTGAACAAATATAAACAATAACTAGCAAATTTAAGCAAAATTGCAAAATATCTGTTTTAATTTGCATAATGGTTTATATCAGTTAAAAGTTGGTTGAGAAATTAAGCCATGACATTCTTAGATTATTATGAAACACTTGATATACTCTATCATCTTTATAAAGGCAATACCATAGAATAGCTTGGCTGATTAAACTTCCAATCATAATAGTAATTACCTAATTTGATATACAAGACAGTCTACTACAGGCATTTAAAAATCAAAAACATCCAAGAATAGAACTACAGATTTGTTATAAAAGGGAGTCTTATTTCAGAGATTTTAAACAAAGACAAAATTCCTAGTTATGACTCTTAAAAATGCATCTCCCCTGGTAGCAGGAGAGATTCTCTAGGTGCTGGGGAAGATAAAATCAACATTCACCCACAATTAAGAGACTAGGAAAGTTAATCCAGGCAACTCTTTTTCACAGACTCTAACCTTGACTATCTTTAATATTTAGACATTTAAAACAGTAATTGGAAAAGAAATATTTCTGCTACCTTCAATACAATGAGATTTCAGTCAGGTCTCGGGATCTTTCTAATTCCTAGTTGATTTTAAACAATGAAACAGTCCTTACCCCAATAAGAAGCAAAATGAGAGAAGCAGTAGACGAAATGGGAAAACTAGGCTAAGGGACAATTTCCCTTATAAGCATAAGCAGGAAAGTTCTAGGCCTCCAGAAGTCTAAGAGGTTCTCAGGAGATGCCATATATATTAAGAGGATCTGTGACAGAAGAGTTCAGCCTATCATGAAGTGGAACTAGGATATGGTCCCTGGACTGGGGGCTGTCCATATCCATCAGCTTTCAAACACCCCCAGCACCAAAGAGGCATTGATCCTTTGGTTAGAAGGACTATCTAGCAGACAATGTGTCTGAGACAGAACAAAAAATCATTAGGCAAATTATGGAAAAATTATATAACAATATTGGAAGGCAACCAATGCACCATATGTGAATGTGTTGGCTAAAGGAATGTCATGCTTTTAAAGGTAAACTCTGGATCATAATTACTAATATAAAATCTCATCAAAAACAAAGGAAGGGCTTCATAGTAGCTCCTCTTCCAGAATAATGGCATGAAGAGCTCCGTAGATCTGGTCCCCAATGAAATACCCATAACTAATAAAAATTATTTTTTTAAGAAATTGAAGTTTCTAAATATTGTCCTACAGCCATACATCAAATGAAGAAACATTTTTTTAAGAAACTATTAAATCTCATTAATGTGGCCCTTGAGACTTGACTGACTCCCTCCTTCCTATCGTCAGTGTGACAAAAACATCACTCGTCATTGCAGAAGAATGTTGCCAAGAAGACAGAGCTCCCTCTTGCCTCAGTTCACAGTCAAGGTATATGATATCTTACTGGAAGGGCAGACTATCAGGAGTTTTCATCTGTGCAGCTCTGATGTGCATAGGCTAAATTCCTGGCAAGTGCAGCAAGATGTTGGGTATTGCCTCCTCTACCAATGCCTCACTGAGAGAGTGATTGCTCTACCCCAGGCACAGCAAGCTGAGACTAACTGGGCCCCAATTGTCATTTCCCCAGATTGCTTATAATAAGGTTGTTGTTATGAATATGCACAATGAATACAGATTTTCAAAAATCCTCAACAAAATACTACCAAACAGAATCCTGCAAAATATAAAAGGTTAT